GCACTGCACTATACGATTCAAGAAGGAATCCTTCTGAACATTAGACTTGGAGATTTAAGTTTCAGTGAGACTACTGAACTCATCTCTGGGAGCCAGGGATAACTTTAAGGAGTGGGATGAGTCAGCAATTGGATACAACAGGGAAGAATTAGTGTTATGGGATCTTTAGGGTAGTGTTTTTCTGGCCAGAAATCTCTGTGGCTCGTAGCAACTTTGAGTTTTGCTCAGGCCTGTTGGGCTCATTTTGTCCACTCAGCCTGGCAGGCTGTGCTTGGCTTATGCCACCAGCCTGTGTTCCACACCTGCCAAGGTGAGTCAGGTGTGGAACAGCAAGGGGTGTGTAAGCGAGCATGGGGTTCGGCCACTGCACATAGCCAGACGTGCCAGCTGCTGCAGCAGGGTGGGTGGGCAGCTCCAGGTTCCGGAACAGGTGCCAGCTCTATGTGAGGCATTGTTGGACCAGGCTCATGACAAGCATCTTCCACATCTGGCACTGGGGATCATGGTGGCACTCAGAATTTTGGAGATGCCAGGAACCACAGAGTCCCAAAGAGGCAATGACAGCCCTGGCTCAAGGATTTCCCAGGTCTGTGCTCCCTAAAAAGCCAAAACTCTTCTCTCCTCTTTGCCTACAATGTGGCGAACAAGGGGTATATTTCAACCCGTTTTGTGTTAAAGCTCTTCTAGCCCCACCATTTGATGGGTCCCAAATTCTTGTCCGTGACCAGGAGGAATGAAGAGCTTTACTTAGCAATAGAACAGCTCAGTCTCCCACAGAGGCCAGCTCCTTTCTGCAGCAAGGGTGTCCTGATGATTGTTCAGCTCCTAGCAGATAGGAGACCCCGGAGTGGGAAGCTCCTCTTGGTAGGCAGGTAATCCTGTCGTCTTCTTGGCTCTCAGAAGAGAGGAGGATCTCAGGTGGGTAGCTCCTCTCTGCAGCTGGTGGTCACAACATTTGCTCAGTTCCGGCTGAGTCCTCTGGCTTTTATGGGCCTCAGAGGGGAGGAAGTACATGCTGAATGGTTCATGGGTGGCCATGGGTGGGCCCAGATCAAGCACCACAAATTCCTACTCTGGTCTGCGGGACTGGCAGCCCAGTCCCCAGCCTTCAGGTCCTTTCTGGCCTGAAGGTGAGGCCTAACTGTGGACCTTCCACCCAGGAACCTGTCTGCCTCCTGCTGCCATTTATGGCACACAGGCCATCTGGGGAGGTCTGCAGGCCAGCACTGAGCTTCCTTCCTATGCTCATTGGAGCTCAAAGTCTGGATGGGGCTAAGGCAGCAGGGGACTGCTGTGTCTGCATTGCCCAAAGCATGTACACACCTGGCCTGGCTGTGACAGTGCTTGGGATCAGCCCTGACTTTGCTTTGAGATTTCGGTGGGCGCTGACAGCAGGGAGAGACCAAGCAGTGCGAGCAGATATTTCCAAAAGAGGGTAGGGATGCCTGGGTCCACATCCTCAATTTAGGTGGCTACAGATATGTCTGGGAGGGCAGGACTCCTGCCTGCTCCATGGAGAGGGAGGCCTGGGTTTACAACCACCACTTGGGCAGCTGAGACTATACCTGGGGAGCTACTGCCACACCAATTTGAAAGGGACAGGGCTTCCATTTGTCCCCAGCTCCCACCAGCTCCACAACGTGTGCAGCCATGGCCATGACTCTCTGCTGCATCTGGCATGATGGCAGCGGCCACTCCAGATGGGCCATCACTGCCATCATGAGGAATGTATAAAATTAAATATCTGTGGTAGCAGCTAATTATGTCTATTTAACTATAGCCACATACATACCAGGACATTTTGATTTTCTAAGGAAAGCCAGAAATTGAGATTTTTCAGATGAAAGATATAGATTTTTACATGTTGGCAACAAGATATTGTTCCTTAAGAACATAATGGTAGTCCTAATGATCCCATCTGCTATCCAGATTAGGTATGTGAGCTGCCACCTGGTCATCTTAGCATTAGGAAAATGATGTATTAGATGTTCATAGAAGTATCTCTCTTTCTAGAGTCCTATTTTGGGAGTAACAGAGGCACTCACTAAGGAGTCAGGCAATCTGCCATAGGCTATGTCATGTAGGATCCATCACATAAAGGGAACAGGAGAACTGGGTCTCCAAAATGCTTTACTTCCCAAAAGATGCTCTAGGTGGGAGGCCAGCCTGATAATTAGGCTTTTGTGTTAAAAACAACACCATGTTGCCTTTACCCTCCAAATCCCCTGCCCTCAGGCTTGACTCCAGTGCTCATTTTTCCTCACACATGATGGTTTCTGCAGTCTTCACCGGCGTCTGACCCAGGCCTGCCCTGACACTGCTTGTGATCAGTGACCTGGGTGGCAGCCATAGTCACCCCAACCTCTGTCCTTGCCGACTCTGGCTTTAGTTTTCCCAACTCCAATAGGGTACTGGCTACCAATGCTGCTCTGTCCACAGGGCACAGGCCAGAGGGACTCCTTCCTCACCTTTTCCTCCCGCCTGTTAGATGAACACAAGACCCAACCATGGGTGGGCTCACACCTTCCCAATGGCAGCAATTCTCTCTGTCTCCTCACCTCCCCTGAGTGTAGGATTCTTTGTATGTATAGAAGGGAAATCTGGCAGGGTGCTGCATTAGCCTTGATGCTATGAGGGCTGTGGACCCCATGTTTCCTGTGAAACCCACAAGCACAGCTGAGCACAATTCTTAGAGGGATGGTGGTCACTCCTGCTGACTCTGCCATGTCCCTTGACTCTGCAGAGGGCTTACAACAGGGGCTCATTTAAGGTCAATCTCCAAACTCCACCTCTAACATGAAACAGAGTCTGAAAGAGCCCAGAAGCCCGGGTCCTCACAGGGTCACAGTGACTTTTAGTGCTGACGACTGCATAAAATGTAAGGTGATCACCTGACTACCCAGAGAGACTCACCCGCCAAGGACCACCCACCTACTATGGCTTCTCCTTCCTCTTCAGAGATGCATTCCAGTGGAGTATCCAGGACATTATGTCTAGTTCTACAATAAGCCACAGCTATAAACAACATCAACAGCTTTTAAACACCAGACAGCTACTTAGCCAACATGTCAAGATCTGAGGAAAAAGATCAGTTTTCGGCCATTACCCATCCTAGAGGCACCACTTCTGACTGGAGGACACTGGACTAGTAGAACCCATACCCTGAAGACAAAGGTGTTTCACTTTGGCAAGCGGAGGGGGCTCTGCTGTGGCCATGAAGGGATCAGCTGAAGGAGACTCCCCACCTGCAGCTGCTGGAGAGAGGCCTGCTTGCTGCTCAGATGCACAGGTGAGAAAGTGACAACCTGGGCTAAGGCTGGAAATGCTCTACAGCTCTCCATAAGGAATCATGCAGGGGTGGGATGGGCATCTTGACAATGAGTTCCCTGGGAATATGAGGTTCATGGGACATGAGGTGGCAAGAAAGTCTTCTGGGATACAGACAAGCACATCTCCCAAATGGCCCAAAGGACAACCCCAACACTATTTCCTTCCTTCTCAGGACACTCCTCTGAATTAGCCAAAAGCAAAGCTAGGTCCTTCTTAGACAGAAGCAGAGAGAGAGCAAGTCAAAAGGCAGGAGGTGCAGAGGGGACACCGGAGTGGGGACTGTTTGATTCGTCCCTCTGTTCCTGTCTTCTGCTGCTGGGCACACTCCTGTCTCCCTACAGGGCTAAGCAGGATGTGGTTCTCACAGCCAGTGACCTATGTGCCCAGCGGTCACCTGAGAACCAGGCCCACTGCACCTTGGGGAAGCCCACCTGTGAGTCTGCTGTTAGGGAAGGAGACAGATACAGCTGTTTATGAAGGGCGACCCTGTGCATGCACTGTGTGGAGCAGCAGTTTACAGCCCCAATTGGGCTCAATCCCAGAAAAAGACACATATGGAGGAACTCTTATGACCCCATTTACACATGAAGAGATCTGCTCAGAAGGAGGAAATGAAGGTCCAGTATCGTCGGATGGTGAAAAAGTGGCGAACTGGTATCTGAAACCAGGCACTCAGCTTTGTTTTTTGAAACCGGCTGGGCAGCCCCTGAGCAACCATCTGTGAAACACCAGCAGGCAGCAGACTGTGGCTCCCGAGGACCCAAGGACCAGGTGAAAACCTAAAATGTGGACACCCACAGGCAAGGGGAGAGATGGCTACAACACCTGATGTGACATCTTTTTTAAACTAAGCACAGAGCATGAAGTTTTGAGAAAGATTGCCTGTGCTTTAGAGGCCATTGCTTGGGACAGAATTATTTCCATACCTCTTAAAACATTTATTCAGTCACTGATAATTCTTTGGTGTTCTATGCAATATGTGGTCATCATAATGAATAGGTATTTAACTTAAAAATGAGATTGTTAATCCTGCTTTAAATGAAATTCATTTATAATTAAGCAGATTCATCAATAATTTACAACCATTAAAAACTTCTTGAATTGCCCATCTTAGGCCAGATCATAGGTTCTATGTAATCTCACGATTTATTTTACCAGTGTCCTGAAGAGAGGACAAAAAGGTATATTCACAGCAGTAGCTACGAATCCCTGCCTGAAGTCCTGTTTCATAATGAGGAAGGGTATAAAGAAATAAGAAATGCAATCCAGCAGGCCATCATTTCTTTTATGCATTTTTCATGATGGTTTTTCCTTCACTCCTCAATGTCTATGTAAAGCCCCTGTCCCATTAAGTTCATGCCAGCCAGTGTGCCCCCTCTCCATCCACCTCTGTGACTGCCGCCATCTGACTTCAGACCTTTGCTATCCTGAATGAAGCCTCCAGCACCTCAGTCAGAGATTGCAGCTCCACCCCGGGCCCCAGCATCAGGCTGGGAATTCAACAAGCCTCAGAGGTCCCCAGCCAACTCCCTGGCCTCACAAGGTCTTCCTGTTCCAAGGCAATGAGGAAGTCTCTGTGGCTACCCCGGTCAGTTCCTCCCCAAAAGGGCCATTGCCCTCACCATCACCGTTGGAAACTGCCCCCTCTAAAATTACAGATTCAAACACTCCCCACACTGGCCACCCCTTCCAACCCTTCAGCTCTCTAGGGATAGCTTCTGGTAGATGTCTCACAAACACCTCCAACCTAAAGTGGCGGAAACTGAGTGGAGTCAGAAGCACTGTCATGGATTTATCCAGTTTAATAGCTTGGGCAGATGGAAGCAGCCTGGGATCTTTCATCTATGGGAACTTTGGCAGCTGGATGAGTTTTCTGATAAAGTCCCACAGGGCTCGGAAACTCAGCAATCCTCCCTTCTTCTTCTTCTCCTCCTCACGTTGGGGCACTTCTTTTACCTGAGACTGGGTGACATCTTCCAACTTCAAGATTTGTCTGAGCTGTTCGTTCTTTTGCAGTGCCCTCTGCACGTGTTCCGGGGTGATGCGCATCATGCCGCTGTTCTCGGCCTCCTTGCCCGCCTGCTCCAGGATGTTGGCCATCAGGTACTCCAGAACACCAGCCAGGAAAACAGGCGTGGTTGTGCTCAGGCGCCGGGCATACCGACCTTCTCGCAGGGAGCGTTCCACGCGGCTGACAGAAAACTGCAGCCCTGCTCTGCTGGAACGGGAACGGCACTGTTTCCTAGGCTTACAGGAGCTATGACTGCTCTTCTTCCCAGCCATGGTGTTTGCTAGGTTTTGCTCAGATTGGCACAGCTTGATTTTCCAGCCGGCCTGAGCTCTCAATGTACCAGAGCCTAATGCCGCCCACTGTACCTCATGCTCCAGCCCCTCATTGGTCAGGAGTTGCCTTTGTGACAACCTCCACTCTGTGACGTCACTGGTGTCCACTGGGCCCTGAGCAGGCCTCAGCCTAGAAAAGCCCCTGAGAAGAACCTGGTCGCCCTAGTAACTGAACTTCTTTTTGAGAGGAACCTGGTCATCCTAGCATAGGGAACTTCTTTCTGAGAGGAAACTGGTCACCCTAGTAACTAAAACTTCTTATTGAGAGGAACCTGGTCACCATAGTAACTGGAGCTTCTTTTTGAGAGGAACCTGGTCACCATAGTAACTGGAGCTTCTTTTTGAGAGGAACCTGGTCGTCCTAGTAACTGGAACTTCTTTTTAAGGAAAAGCTAATTTTCTACTTTAACAATTTATCAAAAAAATTGTGTCAATGAAAATATTGTTCTGTGTTTAGGACCCCAGTCCAGGTTCTTTAAGTTTAGCCTTGCATTGTCTGTGAGCTAATTAACATCCCTCTAGAAGCTGTAAGTCACTTACAGTCATGTTCACTGCCTTCCTCCAATTTTCCCTCCATCTATACATTTACGTAAATATTCATGATCAATATTCCTATCTTTTTCTTTGAATTCTCTTTTGAACAGCTTGTAATATCTCCCAATTTCCTTATGAGTTAATCAATTATTTCAATGCATTTCCATTTCATAGGTGTTTGAGTGTTATGATGTTACTCTGTTGGAAAATATCTTCTCCCTGTTTAAAGGTCACATTGTTATACCCAGTGAATTCGCCTGTCAGAGCCAGTCAAACTTGATGACAGAGATGTGTACCTCATGCTTGAGTAAACCCAGGAATGTCTTTGCTTGCCTCATCTAGTTGACTCCAAAACCCAAATTAATCTTTGTTCATTGTGTTTTTCTAATTTTAGTTTCAATATTTAATTTCATTTCAATCATTTATTTACCAACTCTGCATTTGATTTTCTGTTGTTGTTCATTTACATTAGGTAAGTTATTTTCATTGTTGACAAAATGGTTGGGAATTCAGTTTTAGGATCCAACCATCTGGAAAGCTCTGTAAATGAGTTAATGATTCGCAGAAATCCAGTCTCCGTTGGGTAAGAGACAACAGAAAATCTGGTTGGACAGTCTTTCTATTTGTCCATTTGTCTATTTATAGCTCAAATCAGTTATGAATTTTATACCCTCTTAGAGGAGAACGCTTTTTTTTTTTGATATTTGGATCACAGAATTGTACTGTTTCTATTTACACTTGACTCATGGTGAAATTGTAGAACTGAAGCTATAAGCTCTATTTCTCTGTGCCTATATATCTATGTGCTTGTGACTCTGAAAGAGCTCCACCTCTGATTTTATGATTATGTAAGGTTTTCCTGCCTCTGGAAGGTAATGACATACTGGATTATAAAGCCTCTTTTGCTTATATAAATTAATTATTCCCAAAAGTCCTTGAAACTGAAGAAAAAACTCCAATATTTTAAATGTGCTAGATTTAAACAGTATACATTCTCACAGAAACCAACTCAAAGCCATTTTAAGAATTCAAATTTACATAACTTATGTTATTCTTTGGTAAATAAGACTAGCTTAATAGTTTAGGTTGAGTGAAAACAACCATGTTTCTTCTTTTCTTTTTTTGAGATAGAGTTTTGTTCTTGTTACCCAGGCTGGAGTGCAATGGTGCGATCTCAGCTCACCACAACCTCCGCCTCCTGAGTTCAAGCAATTCTCGTACCTCAGCCTCCCGAGTCCCTGGGAGTACAGGTGCGCGCCACCATGCCCAGCTAATTTTTTGTATTTTTAGTAGAGACGGGGTTTCACCTTGTTGACCAGGATGGTCTCAATCTCCTGACCTTGTGATCCACCCTCCTCGACCTCCCAAAGTGCTGGGATTATAGGCATGAGCCACTGCACCCGGCCAACTATGTCTTATTTTATTAATCATTGTTAGATACAACACAATTGTACATCTGTATGCTACTTAGGTCTGTTTTTCTTAAACTTAAAATTTTTTACTGATCACATGAATTAATATTACATGTATTTAATGTTTAAGATTGTGAAAATATAAATTTACATTTAACCAATTGAATTATTGCTCTAATAACCATGTGTTTCTATGGTAATAAATATTTGCAGTATATCAACTTGAGGACAATTTCCAAGACTTTTCTAGTCTAAAGTAAAGCTTTAGTTGGATGTTATATCGAGTTAATTAAAGAAAAATGGATGCCTACACCGTTTTTCAGTAAGATAGAATACTGAAATATTGACTAAGCCTAATTTTACCTTCTATAATTTGCTTCTCATTTGTGCATGCTACAAAAGTGCTACATGTTTGGGTCTGTCAATGAACATGTTCATGCTTTCAATAGTGAAAAGCTGAATAAGGGGAGTGTGTGGCTGGATAAAGCTGGGTTAAGGGTATTTATGAGATATACTAGGCTGCTAAAATGACAGAAATTCACAATAATTCACCTGTAGCTTTCTCTGGGAAATGCAAAGGATTTTGCATAAAAGATATAATTAATATATGTTATGAGAGACTCCTAGGAATCTCAAAATAAGACAAGAATTATTCTGCTTGTTTTGATTAAAACCTAAAATGATAACATTTCTGTATTGAGTAAAATGACTTGATATTCCAGAATATAAGAGAAAAAACCTTCTTCTATGTCAAATCCACCTCTGCCTTCCTCTTTTATGAACATGTGTGATTGCACTTAGGTTCTATCAGATAATACACAATAAAGATGGGAAACATCTTTCACAATCATCTCTGTGAATTCTCTTTTTCCATATAAGGTAACATTCATAAGTGCAAAGGGGTAGGATTGAGATATCTTTGGGGACCACTATTCAGCCTACAAATGTGATTATTCCCTGGAAACTGGCATGGAAGAGAGGAATCAAGACAGAGAAGGAAAGGAAGCAAAGAAACAAAGTGTTAATTATTAAGCAGTGTTAATATCACTGAAAAACTTTAGGTATTCAAGAGGACACAAGTCTAATGTTAATTAAGTCAGGTTGTGTTAGAGGTAATGAGGTTAAGCTAGAGAGGGCCCCTGAAGAGAGGTAAACAGGATTATTTGACATGTTAATTACATAAGAAGCATTGTTCAAATTTTTTAAAAAGTAATTGTTGGTTTTCTCAGGTTATATTTTAGTAAATGATAACAATATACGTTCCAAAATTGTATGGGATTTCTAAAATTCTAGTATGTCTGAATATATGCTATCAATTACAATGATGGTTATGTGAAGTTACTGTAAACCATAGAAATAACCTAATTTCCTTGTCAATTATATTTTTAACTATGATTGTTTAAAATCATTTCCACAGTTAATTGCTTAGTGTTGATGGAGTTTCTGGAAACTTCAAAGGCATGGTGTCTTTTAGAAAGTTTATGAAAAGGTAGAAAATACCTTAAAAGCATTCTTTATTACAGGTTTCTAATAAGTTTAAAATCGTATCATTTGAACTGCGTAAAAATTCCTAGAACCTCATGAAAAGACTGACTGGGTTATAAAACTGGTAACCCAAGTAAAACAAAAATTAATTGAATACCAAGAAAATACTTTGCCAGATTTCCGTGCTAGATCAGCTAGTATTAAAACTGTTTATATAAACAATTTAAATAAAATCCATGGTCTAAGTCAAATTACCTAGGATAACTCATCAGTTATCAGTGCTATGCACCTAACTTGGAGACACAATTGGTATTCAAGAGGACGTAAGTTAATGTTAATTAAGCACGGACTCATGGAGAACCAGAATAGCCACCTAGTCCTTCCAGAGTACTTAAAAAAAAAAAAAACTTGGCCAGGCGCGGTGGCTCACACCTGTAATCCCAGCACTTTGGGAGGCTGAGGCGGGTGGATCACGAGGTCAAGAAATCGAGACCATCCTGGTCAACATGGTGAAACCCCATCTCTACTAAAAATACAAAAACTTAGCTGGGCATGGTGGCGCGTGCCTGTAGTCCCAGCTACTCAGGAGGCTGAGGCAGGAGAATTGCCTGAACCCAGGAGGCGGAGGTTGCGGTGAGCCGAGATCGCGCCATTGCACTCCAGCCTGGGTAACAAGAGCAAAACTCCGTCTCAAAAACAAACAAACAAACAAAAAAAAAACCCTTAGCTTCTGTTATTAAAAGTTCTGCATTTCATGACTCATCATGGAAAAGGTAAAATGATCCAAATTCAATATATTGGTGTGGTGACTTATAAATTGCTAAAATAGCTTATAACCAATGTTTGGTTTCATATTCCTGGGAAGATAATCAAAGTTTCAGGTACATTTGGCTACCTGATAGGTCATTTAAACATTTATAAAGGGATTTCATTCAATTGTTATTTTCAATGTATGTTTTCTGGTTGTATAAAAGATTTGTTATGCAAGAGAGCTAACACTATAACACTAAGTTATTATGCCACAGTGTATTCTCAGCAGGTAAAGAAAGCTTTTTTATAGTTCACTGGGGACAATCAACCCCTTCACAGTCTAGAACCTGAAGATTGGATCTTCGGGGAACATCAGAGAAAGATTTTCCTTGACATCCACACTGCAACGGAACTTTAGGATCTTGAACTTTGGGTTCATAATCTCACAGCTGAGAAGGGTCCCTCTGCAGTCTTGACTCTGTACACTCATTGGAACCCTTAAGGAAAAGCTAACCAGGGAAGTCACTCCCCAGAAGAAGATGACATCCTTGATGTGAACAGCCATTCCCAAGATCACTGATTAAGACTTCTCTAGTATCATGAGAGTCTTACCTTTAAATATTTTTTCTTGTTTATGTCTCTATGAGCAATGGAAATGAAAAAGGGGTCTGTTCTGTTCATTTATGGGGTATCCTTACATTTGTAAAGGATTTTGCAGCCAGCTTTATACATGGATAACCTTATACTTGAATAAAGATAATGACCCAATGTAGGTGAGAAACTTAAATGGTACATGTGGCCTCATAATCAGGCAGAAACAGAACATTGGTTCATTCCTCTTAACCCACATCATGGGTTAAAGAGAGCATTGCCAGGAGGCCTTCACTCTTCT